AGGCGGGCGGGTGAAGACGTGGAAGCGCCGCTGGTTCATCCTGACCGACAACTGCCTCTACTACTTCGAGTACACCACGGTGAGAGCCCCAAAATCCCCCAAATTCACCCCAAAATCCACCCCGGGGACCCCAAAATCGGAATCGGGGACCCCAAAAACCCCCAGGAACCAAAATCCCAAAGAAAATCCCAAAAAATCCCCAAAAGTTCCCAAAAAATTCTTCAAAAATTCGCCCAAAATAAAAAAATAATTCCCAAAAAAAGTTCTCCTAAATTTTGGAAAATTTCCCTTTAAGAGGCACCAAAATTTCCCCAAATTTATCCCAAAATCCACCCCGGGGACCCCAAAATCGGAATCGGGGACCCCAAAAACCCCCGGGAACCGAAATTCCCAAAAAATTCCCAAAAAATCCCAAAAAATCCCAAAAAATTCCCCGAAATCCCAGAAAATTTCTGTTAAATCCCCCAAAATCCCCCAAATTCACCCCAAAATCCAAACCGGGGACCCCAAAATCGGAACCGGGGACCCCAAAAACCCCCGGGGACCAAAATTCCCAAAAAAATTCCCAAAAACCCTGGAAATTTCCTCATTTTTTCCTCTCAGGGACCCCAAAATCCCCCAAATTTACCCCAAAATCCACCCTGGGGACCCCAAAATCCAAACCGGGGACCCCAAAAACCCCCGGGATCCAAAATCCCCAAAAAATTCCCCAAAATCCCCAAAAATTTCCCAAAATCCTCCTTAAAGACCCCAAAATTCCCCAAATTTCCCCAAAATCCCCCAAATTCACCCCAAAATCCACCCCGGGGACCCCAAAAACCCCCGGGAACCAAAATCCCAAAAAAATTCCAAAAAAATCCCCCAAAAAAATCCCCAAAATCCCCCAAATTCTCCCCGAGGAGCCCAAAATTCCCAAAAAATCTTCAAAATTCCTAAAAAAATCCCCAAAATTAATTAAAAAATTCCCCAAAATCCGAAAAATTCCCAAAAATTCCCGAATTTTCCACAGGATAAGGAGCCCCGAGGGATCATCCCCCTGGAAAATCTGAGCATCCGAGAGGTGGAGGATCCCCGAAAACCGGTGAGAAATCCCAAAAATTCCCAAAAAATTCATATTGGGAATCCTGAAATTCCCAAAAATCAAAAAATTCCCCAAAAATTC